CATTAACCAGACTATTCAGTTTTGTGAATAGAATTTCATTGTAAATGCTTCAATCACAAACTTTCGGCTAGATTAGAAAAGAAGACTTACCCGTGTTTCATACCGCATCAAAAAAGTTTCCCCGCTTTGGTATCAGGTGCATCTTTCTCCACTACTAACGCCATTCAAATTTCCCGCCCTCAGCACCGGCTGCGACCGACTGTATGTTTTTCCTCCATTTATGATAGTGCCAAGCTTTGTAGCTTTTTTTAGCGTTACTTATGCATTTATTCTGTTCTTATCTTGAAATACTCCCTCAAAGAAACAATTAATAGTTTGATAAATAATAATAGTTTGACAAATAATAGTTTGAAAGCGAGAGCAACACATAATAAAAGAAAATGCTTGAACTCGAGGAAGTCCTAATCGTTCATCACAACGTGCGTGAAGACTGGGCTCTGGATGCACAACAAATTATGCAAAATGGCGGAGTTGAAAGCACCGGAATCTTGTGGATCTCTTCGTAGTTTGTGCATAAAAATTGTTCTCCATTATCCGAAATTGGCCGAGAAAGGATTCAGTTTGCTTCCTTTTGAGGTCATTCAAGCTATTCTTGATGCTTCTGTTCACAATCGAAGTATAGGTCTGATACAGCAGGTCTTGAAATTTTGGCCTTCGCCTGTGGCTGTCTTAAGCGGAGTTTCAAGCACCTCACGTGACGAGGAATTTGTTGCAAGGGCTGTAGTTGAGTACATTTCTAAAAGGGACGAAGCTGATAAAGTCCAAGTTATTGACCTAAGGCAAAGAAATATTGGTGAGTTTAGTAGGCTGTGAATTTTTATGCGCAAGTCAACGTAAATCCCCGCTCATTTAACTGCATGGCACTTTGCTAGTAACTTGTATGATGCCCCGCACTTCGAGCTAAGGCCAACTTATTCGTCTTATTGAAGCTAGTGACCCCGCTCAAATCCCCCACTCTAATAAAAAAAATTAAAGGTGGTATACATAGCCTATTGTTAATCCTTTAACTTTATTACATAAATATTAGCTAATAATGTCAATCATATATTCAAAGCTTTCTTACCTTCTTGTCCAAAGTCAGAATATTTTCAATTCAAGTCCCAGTTCACCTTGGTTGAAAGTGCCCTGGTCCTTTCCCCTGCTGATCCTGGATGACATGCAAAAGCTATTAAAGTCCCCAGTAACCATAGCCTGTACACCTATCAAATGATGGAAAACTCCCTGCAAATGCCTCACTAACTCCCAGTGATGAGGGGTTTTTACATTAACCAGTGCAGTGATGTTACATATTATTAGTTACCATTTTACTCATTGAATGTTTAGATGAACTGCCAATCTTTCTGTGCTATTGATTAAATTATTTATTCTTTGCCTAATTAATTTTGAATTACTTACCTGTTGACCCAAAAAATCTGAAATAGTACTTTTCAAAACCCTTGTTACTTCCCCCAGTAATACAATATAGCAGTGCTCTGAGTCCATAAACCCAATGAAATTTGAGAAACTGAAAACTGAGAGAAAAACCTTCACAAAAAGTCATTGATCATCTGAAAAACATGGCATTATGCCAAAAAATTTGCTAACATTTATCTCCTCCTTCCTCTGCCCTCCCCCCTTCCCAACCCCCATTACATCCACCAACAGGCAAAACTTGCTAAGAATAAAAGGCATACTAAAATTCAAAACTTAACATTTTACTGATTCAGTTTCCTGAAGTGTAAGCAAGAAAAGCAGGCTAACTATCATTAGTGCTCAGGCTACAGAATTTATCCTTGTTGAACTGGGATTTTTAAGAAGGTTAGGCAATATTCTGGTATTATGCTCTGATTGTAGGAATATGTCCACAATTATGCCATCGAATGCCTGCTTGATAACTGAGTATAGACTTGCATGGCTGGGGGAACTCCCACAATCTACTTGACCACCTGTAAGAGGTCTTTTTAGTGGAATAGTTTGGAACTTGGGGCAAGAACTAAGAGCTATAACATATGTATCATATACTGTTATGGTTCTAAGTTAGATTGAGATGTGCATTTTGGTAAAGAGTATTGGTGATCCATAAATATGAATCAACTTACTGTAAAATCTCCTGTATAAATACAAATGTGGGGGAATCAAGTTAATTTATCTCCATTAAAAATTAAATGGAGTTCTACTTCAGGGACAGTTTTGTTTTTTAATCTATTTTTTTTAATATAAAAAAAGAATTATCTGGAGAATGATACACAGCAAACTACAGGAGCATGTTGTTAAAAATTGATGACAACAATAAGTAAAGATATAGTTATAATTGCAGGGAAATAATGTGAAAATCACTGTTGAAGATAGCAATTAATCACCCTTTACACCCTAATATCAGTATACATATACTGTTCTCCACAAATATCCATGGTGGCCAACATAGAAGAACTTCTTGTTGGTGATCATTTCCTCTATTCATGATCTTAATGTTTATTCAGGGGTGATTTTATGAGGAGAAATTAAATGTTAGTCACTCTTAGGGTGAAAGTGGTGAAGCAGAAACCGATGAGGATGACTTCTTTAAAGGACTTTTGACAAAAGAGTCTCTTCCAGGCACACAATTTGTTTGAATTAGCAAAAAAGTAAGGCCATTGTGGGATTAATGAAGTGTTGGGTTGTATTATTGAAATATTCTTACTGAATGAAAAATAATACAAAATTCATATTCATAAGTTAAAATACAAACTGGTGAAGTGACCAATGAGAAAGATCATATTGTGCTGGTAACAAGCAAAATTCTGACAAAGAGAAATGCAAAATATATGCTGCTTATGCATTTGTCTAAAAGATCTACATAAAAATCTAAACTATTGTAAATTCTCGGTGGTGCGTTCATCATGTGCATATGTCAAAACTCAAAGTAATGAATTCATAATTGTCAGGGATGCTGAATACTGCACCAATTAATGCGATGCAACTCAATATGCAAGCACCCAAAGAAAATAATCTGTAGATCAAGAAAAGTTTTCAGTTTCGTCTTGGTAATTGAGATAGTTTAATTTTCAGGATTCCTTGGTAGTACCGTTCTATGCAGGGCTGTCATTGCTGCAAATAAAGACAGTACATTAGCAGAAGTTGCCAATGGAACCCCCTTTAATGTAGCTATCCATCTCAAGCCAGTTCTTGCTGTGTATGCAGACATTTGTGTGAATTACAGTAATCCTGAGACGGTATTGAAAGCATTGGAAACAAAGAATGGTTTTGTTCAACTCTGTATCTCTGCTTTTAGTGCAGTAGAACTTGGAGATCATAGACTTTCTGGTCTCTTGAGAGTTCTTAATTCAGACCATTTGGTAGTATTGGATTTGTCATATAATGGATTGGCTTATTATGACAACGTCAGCGTCGATTTGTCATCGATTTTCCAAGAGATGCAAAAATTCACAAAGTTGCGCGCTCTAGCACTCTCTTATAATTCCTTGGGGGAAAGCCATTTGATGAATCTGTGTAAGGTTTTGGAGAAATTTCCATGCCTCGTATCTCTCGATCTTAATGGTAACTATGTTGGTGGTTGCATTAGACTTCTTTTGAACAGCGTTAATCAACCACTGAAGTGCTTACGATTAGAAAACGGCAGAATATGCGATAGCGGAATTAGGAGCATTGCATGTTCCAAACATTCAACTCAACTCACCGAGTTGGATATTTCTTTTAACTGTCTTTCGTCAGAATGCCTTCCTGATCTTCTCTTTATTTTGGAGGCGTCCAAGAACACCTTACAAAGCCTGAACGTTTCAGGAAACGAGGTTGAAACAGTGTTAGACCTAAACTGGCAAACAATTTGTTGATCTACTCTCAGTATAGACTCTCTCAATAAATGGATTTTGGATTGTTCTCTAAATAACAAAGTTTTTACGTTTCTTCTTATCTTAAAAGGTTCCGGAAGTTATTGCAAACAGAAAATAATAAAAATCTTTTCTTTCGCTGTTGATTAACGTAGTGCGTCCCTATTGTCACGGTAACTTTTAGTGATTCTCTGTCAACCGACAGCTGTTTGGTTTGAAAGTCGCTCCGACTAAAGCCTGCGGGAAGACCTTCGTTATAATGACTTCGGCACGAGCAGTTCTTCACCCGCCTGCGGGAAAGTACAAGGCCTTGAGCGACACGAGCCAGCTAGAGGCATGAAGAGGGGTCTAGCATTGATAATGATTATTAGTGCCAGATCTTTGGCAAATCAACCTCTCCCAACTCGTCTCAAATCTTACTGCGGGCGGAAAAAGAGATGAAACGCGCATCCTGCAGCGCTTATAACGAGGCCGTGCTCGCAGGCCAATCCGACTAGAAGTGAAGTGGTAATTGGTGATTCAGGGTTCGGAAATGATAAGAAAAAGGAATGAGGTGCACTTGTTTTCGAATTCTGCAATTTTTTATAAGCATTGTTTTCCCAAATAAAGCTAAATTGCTAATGCGTTTTCTTCCATTTAATAATTGATGATGTTGTTTTATGAACGTTCTAAATCTCCTTATTGAATACTTCCCATATTTTTGTTTCCTGTTTGTTTGAAAATGTCTCAACCGAGAAAGGTGAAGTTATGTATCGATCACCACTAGGTATTGACCACTTTAGAGTCAAAAACGTCTTTTGACTCTTCATGAGTTAGAGAAAGGCTATTTTCCATTTCGCCTCCTGTTTGATTGACGTGAATATTTGTAAACTTATGTTACTAGTGAAAAACTGTTCTTATGTTTTTGTCCTGCCATCTTACTTCTTGTTTTTCTGTGCCGGCTATCGCACCAGAACCTTTAAAAAATATATAATTGTAAAGGATTGAAAATTAACCCCACCACAGAGTCAATGAACAAGCTGAGCTAAAAGATAAAGCGTTCTTTATTGGACCACTGGAAATAACCGCGGGGTGGCTGGGTGGGTGGTCTAAATTTTCAACTGACAAAACACAAAATTCTAAAGACGTAGTTAGAGGGAGTAAATAATTAAAGGTAATGAATTTGATGTCCTCGCAGCAACCTTCCTGTGAAACTTCTGATAATATAAACCAACCACGAGACTCTCATTACCCATAGTTTTAGAAGTAATCCTGAAGAAAAAAACTGTAAATAATTGGCGATGTGCGTTTCGAAAAAAAAAACATTGAAGTGCATATATCAATTTCTCTAGTCTTCGTTTTTTTTCCTTTGACATTGTACTCCCCGAGGGAAAAGTGGGTAAAAAAAGAGTACAATACATAGCAACTTTTGGAGTTGTTTACGCACTTAATTAACTAGGTGGGTCGTCGGTAAGTGCTCGACTGCGAAGATGTCAAGCCGCCAGCGAATTCATCTCTCTCGTTCCTTGTAATCAGAGCTGGCTTTTGAAAATTGCCGCTAATTTACGAACCCATTATGCTTTGTCGTTGTAGTTGTGCCGAATTCCATTAAGAATTGGTAAAATTTACATAAAACTACGTTATTATGATATGTTTTGGTTACTTTGTTTTTCTTTAGTATCCCTTGTTAGTCAGTAACAATCCATCTAACTACCTCAGTAATCAGCTTGAGAAAAGGCCCTGAGCTCCTTGGTTCGTCGTTGATTTCATTCGCCCACTGAATTTACGCAAGCGTGGGAAGTGTTGCCTCAGGGTAACCTGGCATCTGCAGCAGATGCCAGAGTCTTAGTCCAAATAAATATATAGCTGATGAACTTGTAAAACAAAGAGAAAATTAGCCAAACCTCAACTGCTGAGGTTTTGACTAAAAGCCTGAATTGCAGCGACGAGTTTGACGCATCAGTGCGGAAGAACCGGCGTAGCAGCCTCGATTCGTTGATTTTCCAGATTGTTCAGAGTTGCATGGTCTCTGCTCTTGATTTCAATTACTATAGTGTGTGATTTCAAAGTGCACAAACAGATATACCGCCAGTGTAATATTAAAAAAACAAAAAAAAAGCAAGAGATCTGGTCATGTTTACCCACTCCTACATGCATCAAAATTGCTAATCTATGGAAATTTCTTGGAGGAAGAATCCCAGATTGACGGAAAGGCAAACCGTGCGGATAGATGTAAAACTAGAAAGACTCCTTTCCAAACAGGCATTTAAAAGTTAGGCAAACAATTCATGTCACCTTTGGTAACCCTTTGCTCAACACGAGAAGAAAATAATTAGTTCCAAACAGGAACAAGGAAAAAGGAATTAGCTGCCATGCGTTAAGTTACGAGGAGATGTAAAAATTAATCATTGGCAACATTAATTTCAGATGAGACAGGCCATAGGAAGAAAGCAATATATCTGCATAGAAATTTTTTTTGCCGCCTTGGGTTCCTTACATTCGACATGTAGAATTTCAAACTCGCCCGCACTAATAATTCTTGTGTAAACGTTTAGGCTTAGAGGAGGGCTATGTTATTATTAGTATTGTTTTTATTATTCAAATTTGTTTTCCCAAGAGAATATTAGTTGTTCTCTTAGTTTTCCTAGGTAAGTTTTTTAAGAACTTATTTTTTGGTCTCGTTTTCTTGGCACTTTCATGCTGATCTATTCTTTCTCGCAATGTATTTTCTGTTACTATCTCAATCTCTTTGACTGGTTAAATTATGCTAATTTATTGAATCGCCTGAGCGAGCTTTGAAAGGTCTGAAAGGACCCGCGAGAGGTGTATTCATTCGAGAATGTTGCGTATGCAAAATCGCTGTCACGCGATAATCAAGTGGTCAACTATGACAACAATATCTTAACTCAAGCAGGATGTCTTCGAAAGTTGTTATTTGCTTTTCGTTCTTTCATAAATCGATCGATTTTTTTTGTTGTGAGAGAAAGCGTAACGGTAGCTGACATTGATATGATCGTATCGCCATTAATTCTCTGCTTTGGAGCGTTGTTCAACCTCTATGTCGCGTTGTACTGCTTTCAGTGCTCAAGATGGCGGTCATCAAACAACTTGAAATATTTCATCGTGTTCCAGACGATTGTCAACACCGGCAATTTGTTCGCTCATCTTGTTTTGCTGCTCCGTGACGAGCTTAACGATTTTGACGAGATCGCAAGAGTGGGAGATCACACAATTTGTGACATCTTGCCCAACATCACAGCATGTTTTATGTCGCTGTCCGTGTTCAACCTTACCGCGTTTGTTGTTGTGCGCTATTTAACGAACGAGCGTCGATGGACACTGTCTGCTCTAAAAATCGTATTCACACTGCTCGGAATCGTTGTGTCATCTGGGCTGCTTTTGTCTCCAGCTTTGAGTTATTTATATCATCAAATGCCAGTTCTCAAGTGTAATGGTTGTTACTGTCCGTCACCGGGTATGATTTGGGAGGCTAATTTCGATGTATGGCTCTACGGTTATATGGTAATCTTGCTTCAGTTTGTTATTCCAGCGATCATTCTTTCTACAGCGGTGCTTAGAGGCCTTGCAAGACAATTGGAAGAGACGCGTACTTTAAGAGAGAGTTGGTACAGATGGCGGTGCGGACTTAAAAGTACAAACATCGTTACTTTAGCTGTGTGTCTCTTTATAACATTTATTCTGCCAGTGAGAGGAATTCGCTTTGTTGCCGGAGAGCACTTCTTCCCGGACAGCACGAAGCGATTCGCTGAGATTGAACTTCTAAATTCTGTTTTTTACATCTTGGAAATCTCTTGGGCTGCAATCACCGCTATATTGCCAGTTTGCCTGAAAAATCTGACTGACGATGAAATTTCTGGTGAACAGAAGAAAGAAAACAACAATGCGGGTCGAACAATGAGCCCTCAAAGCAAAACCTACTACGAGGCTTTGGTGGAATTGGAACTATGGGAATGAGGAGCATATCGAAAGACCAAAGAAATTCAAGGTAATTCGACATGAATTTTCGCCTCAACTGGGTCGCAGTAAACCACATTTTCCGAAAGTTATTAAGAAGTAAACCACAGCGTCATGTTATGAAGTAACCACTCGTAACGAGGGTAATTTACCGTTACGATTTAGTGGCAAAAGTAATTCGGGTAACTCAACATGGATATGGTACAACTAGGACGCGCTAGAAACTATTTTTTGCGAAATTAATTTTAAACACAAATCAGCGGCTTATGTTTGAAAGTCAAATTAAACCCACGCGTGTGACTTTAAAATGAATTTTCAAGCATAACAAATTATAAGTTATTTTCTATTTTGAAAAAAATTCCATATTTATGCGTCATCTTCATGTAATTTTACAGCTTTAAACTGCAAAAGGCGGAGTTGGTGCTGTATCGACTTGCAAATCTTATAGCCATGTAAAGCTTGTATGAAATTGATTGATAGTTCCTTCGGTGCACTTATTTAATATGCTGGTCATGTTTGCATTTTTTTTTCTACCTCCTTGTGGTCTTTCATTTGTGAAGCTGAGGTACAAAGAAGCTCTCAATGGACTTATAGTTTTTACCGCTAACGGTTAAAATTTTGGCCAGTTTACGGCTAACAGTTAATATTTTTCCTTTGTTGTATCAGGAAAGCTTTTGCTTTTAATTTCCTGTTCGACTAATTTTTAAAATAGTCAATTTTTACACCTTGCGGCTATTTTTTTTGTCCGTTTACGGCTATCGGTTAACCCCATCGAGACCCTTTACAAAATCTAGCAAAACGTACCTGGTGGCTTTCGAGTATTCAGACCGAAATGCAAGGGTAACTATGACATCAAAAAATGTATTAGAACTTGCATCGTAATGTTGGCAAAACGTCTGGGCAACATTTATTCTTTTATACACACAATATTGAAAGGTGGCAAATTTTGAGTTTATTCCTTGTTTTGACAAAGAAAGTTATGCTCCGTAGATACTAGAACAAAAAAAAAAAATTTCCCGACCACACGCATTCGAACCTCAAACGTTCGTACTTTGCAGTTACAAGGGTTTGACTTAGGTTTGAACCTCCGTGTGAAGTAGAACGCCAGCAAATACGTTACAAATAACTCATAACCAGTAAGTAACATTATTACTTATTTCTAGCTTTCAGCACAGGCGACATTTATTCTTTTGTACATACAATATTGATAGGTGACAAATTTTGAGTTTATTCTTTGTTTTGATAAGGAAAATCGTGTTCCGTATATACTGGGACAGAGAAAAAGATTTCCCAACAACAAACGTTCGTCCTATGCAGTTACGAAGGTTCTACTTTAGGTCTGAACCTCCGTGTGGAGTAGAACGCAAGCAAATAAGTTACAAATAACTCATAAGTAAGTAACAGTAAGTAACATTATTACTTCTTTCTAACTTGAAGCGAGTGCACGGAGCGAGATACTCGCCCCTTGCGCGCCTGAAAACGTTTAAAGAAAACCAAAACAAAAACTTGGCGCCTGTTTTGCCTTCCTATTTTATTCTTGACTCAGTTAGGTTCCATTCGGGGGCAATCAAGAGCCTAGTATTTTTAACCTCAGAGCACAACACTGTCTTTTCTACGATTTCTTCAACTGCAGCTCGCCATTCTATACCTGTATTTTGCCCGAATAAGCTGTTGCAATTACATAGCATATGATTGTGTTGATAATTTGTTTACATCATCCCAGGTGCTCTGCAATCCGTTGTATAATGGGGAATATTATTGATTTTACTGAGACTGATATTGATCGGAAATCATGTTTCTTTGTAGTTTCGATCATTCTAGTTTACCTCTAAACGTTTTTCGATGGCTAATTCATGATGAGAGCAAAGTTTCTTTATTTTAAATTCCTCTTTGATTAACATATAGCTTCCAGGTGATTGTACGTGTGAATAATTATTTCTTTTGGTCGTTCGGTTAGAATTTACGATTATTTCATTCATACCCATATCACAGGCCTGGCCTGCTTAACGAGCAAGCCCTTCAATTTCCTCTTGCCTCTAAGGAAATTTTCTTTATTTGTTTAGTATTATTTTTTCCATATTCGTACATAGTTAAATTTGTCATGTTGACATGAAGGAGATTATTGTAGGATTAAGACTCAACAATACATATTGGCATGTCGCTGATTTGACGCTGAACCTGTCCATGCCATTTCTTGTACCACTAAATGTAAGTAGAATAAACATCAAGGTTTAATAGGATCAGCAAGGAAATGAAATCTGTTATAAACGATTATGAACGGCGAAGAAACATGAGCGAACGTTTGTAAGGTCTGAAAGTATCGTCAGATATTATATTTTAACTAACAAGCCTTATGTATCAATTATTATTTAATCAATTATATTTAAATTGTTGTAACGCGATTATTTTACGATCTGGTGAAAAGTTGTGTAACTGAACCTTGTGTAAGCAAGAAAGATTTGAAACCAAACATTCGGTGAAAGATTGAATGTCTCGCTTTAAATTTTACTGACTTAAGTACGAATTAAGTATCCTACTCTCTTAATACATAAACCCTTTAATTGTGATTAGCATTTAATTTCTCCATACGATATCACCCCTGAATTAAACACTGAAGTCATGAGAATAAAGGAAATGATCACCCACTAAAGAGACTTTTGATTGCTCAACAAATTCTCCTTGTCAGCACCTTTGGAAATGTGCAGAGAACAGTATGGAGAATATGCATGCTGATGGCGTAAAGTCCGAGAAGGTTTTTGAGTAACTTTGTGGCTATTCAAAATTCTCTTGATGGATTCCGTAACACCCTACCGGAATATGAGGAATAACAGCAAAACCAGTCGCTGGTTCCTTCTCATCATTGCTACCAGTAACAACTACTAGTTACAACTAGTAACACTCCTGATGAGAAGGAACCAGCAACTGCTTTTGCTGTTATTCCTTACATTCAGAGGGTGTTACGGAACCTATCGAGAGAATTTTGAATAGCCGCAACGTTAAAGTTGCTCAAAAACCTTTTCAGATTTAAAGGTATAGTTTTGCCAAACCTAATGATCCTGTTACGCAAGAACAACGAACCGACGCTATTTAGTCTATTCCGTGCAATTACCGTGATCACGAGTATATCGGACAGACCAAACGTCAGTTTAGTACACGTTTGAAAGAGCGTCAAAAAGCGGTCCTCTTTTGCGGAAAGGAAAATTCAAGAATACATGGTCGGTTGTGAGACCTGTTGTACATATCTTTTTTACATATCTTTTTTGAAGTTTGTTGTGATGCGTAAGTTATTCATCTTTGGCCTACTCTGCAGACGGTTTGCACACTACACTTGCAATCCCTGGCACCGTTAAACCAGACGGCGCCCTGATTTTTCGTCTTTTCCTGCACAGTATCACGTTACGCAGATGTTCTCGAAAACTCTTAATGCGCAAACTGTACACTCCAGGATTAACGCACGAGTTGAGCACAATCAGGACCTCTCCTGCGTCATTGAACCACGGTACACCCACGCCCCAGACCATTGTGACGTGACTTATTAGGGCCGGAATCCAACAGAATGCGTAGATCGCGCTGACCACCAGCAGCGACACAGTCACTTGTTTGCGATGGCGAAGAAGAGCCGTCTGAGAAGCTTTCAAATGTGCACTCTCAACTGGCTTGACCCACAGGCGATACGCTACTCTGGAGTACAGGCATACCATAATGCACACGGGAACCACGCCTGCGAAAAGCATCCAAATGAGGCTGTGCGCTTTGAAGAATCTTTCGTCTATGGTGCGAAAGTTATCATACCTCTTGCACGAGCCGGAATCGAAATAATAGTACTTGACCTCCAATAGGTCAACCATGTTGATCACAATGGAGACAAACCATGCAATGCCAATTAGTAATTTCAGACGCCCTTTGGTAAACTTTCCTCGATGACGAAGGGGATGGATTATGGCTAAGTAACGTTCAATGGCGATGTAAACCAAAAACAAAATGGAGGCAGCAGCACCAAACCAGGCGATGTCTCCGTGTGTAAACCAAACGCACAACCAGCGTCCTGCCTCTCCCTCTGGGTGGGTTAGGTATTGAAAAAGTCCTTTCTTGAGACCAGTGGGCAAAGCGAACACCATGTCGGCCACGGCGAGGTTCACCAGTAAGTAGTTGAGTGTGGTTTGCATGGGTTTGTTCAGAAGGACAGTTAGAATGACGAGCGTGTTGCCGATCAGGGATGTGAGTACAAGGATTAAACACACCGTGTCCATAATGATGAGAGAGGCTGTCTGAGAAACGGCCATCTTAAAATGACGACACTCAAATTAGGTTTGCATTGATTAATTATATGCGTATTTGGTACCACGAGGAACAGTTGGAGACGAACAATCAATGTTCTTAACTTAGTCGATCATAAATAAGATGTGATCTTAATTATAAGAAACCCTTGCACAGCGCAAACCATTCATTAGTTGTCTGTAACACTTATAATAAGATACCTGAAAAAATCACTCAGTTCTGATTGGTTAAGATAAATGCAGTTTTCAGGTAATTCAATGAAGAAGAGGGTTAATTCAGCCAGATTGAACAATTCCTTGAACTGTTTAGTTAGACTCTGAACTTTTATGCGCCTTAAAGATGTGAAAATATTATAGCATATGAATGTTTTGATCGTACGCGATTGTTTTTACCGAACGCACAATGTCATTTGCAGGGCTTGATTAAATTATTTTTGCACCTGATGCGCGCACTTTGCTTCTGCATAATTATGATAAGCTATCTCGTATTTTTTTATGCATATTAATAATACGTAATCGCATGATTTTTCTCGTGCAATTTGATATGAATAAGCACTTGTAAATTTTTTCAAAGACAAAAATTGCACGAGCCTGTGAGGCTCGTGCAATTTTGTTAGTCTTTGAAAAAATTCACTCGTGCTTATTTATTCCAAATTGCACTCGAAATCATGTGATTACCTATACTAAATGCATAAGAGAGATCACAAACTTATGCATGATAATAAAATCCAAAAAAACACACATTGGAAATCCCACAAACACAAATGATATATTTTTAAAAAATTTAACCTAACAAATAAGATTGTCACAAACAAATGTTTTGAAAATATAACTTTTAAACTTCTTTTTAGTACAAAGTATGAACACCGTTCTATTTCAGAATTTCTGATGTAATGTATTACCACAATCTTGGGACACACTTGGGAAATGCTAAGTCCCCATGAGATTTAGTTTGAGAAAGTTTTTGGAAAATGAGTCTTTGAGAATCTGAACGAAGTGCGGCATCTATGAATATTTACTTACGGTTTGAGGCGTTGCACTCAGTGGCAGGTGTGGTTTTTTCGTCTCATGCGAGAAACCAACAAGAGAAACGCAAAATTCTCTTCATCAGGATAGTATCGCTTGGAAATCACTGTGCGGAAGATAAAAGCTCTAGATAAAAGTGCAGTTTTACAAGGCTGTAGAAAAAAGAAATGCTGTCATAGATAAGAAGACGTTAGGTTGGAAAGCTTGAATTTTCGTGATTATTGATTTTTTAAAGTTTTTTTTGTTGGACAGCCAAACATATGACAGTCGACTTAATTAAACTCAAAGCAATCATACGTATACAAGAAGGAAAAAAAATAAACAAACACGTAATGAGTTTTGTCATCGCGTTTCCCTTCCCATACTGCCCTTTAATAACAATTATAACACCTTGAATTGACCATTTGTGGTTGGAAAGAGATTGAAATATGGTATGATTTTAAAATTGTCTAACTCATGCTTGAACGTTCCTTTTCATTTAAAATTTTCAGGGATATCGAGGTATTTTCTGTTTGACTTACATATCCTATTGATTGTGTTTAAGCAGCTGCATGTTCTGTACTCAAGCAATATAG